TCACAACTCAAAAAACCATGGACCTGAAGACGAAAGGCGGAAGACTTTCGAAACGTCGTCCTCTATGTAGGTTTCTACAACAGGCAGTTGATGTCCATTTGAAACTTACATTCATTATGAATTCTCTGCCTAAACAACCTATCAAAGATTACATAGTATATCTATTAAAAACACAGTAATTTTAAACAAAGAACTAAACATAAACAAACGAAAAATCAAGGAATCCATCTTAATTGAACAAAACAACCCTACTCTAAACCAACACCCTGGGGTGCCAAGATAATCTCTTCTAAGTCTTGCAACAGTATCCGGTCATGTGACCTCTTTGTTCTATACTGTGTATATATCTGTGTCAGTGTAAACTACTTGTACCTGATGATGACAAAACTTTGTTGAAACATTGTACATTTGCTGTTATGTTAAACTTTATTAAAGTTTTTCTTCATTACCCATTCAAGCCGTTTCCAAGCATTATATAGTACAACCGTTGAAAATCGGAGTAAAAACCATTTCAAATCTTTATACTTTCCACTGAATGCGAATAGTTGCATTAGAAAATAAATATATGATGCGGTTCTTTTTTAGCATAGAACTAGATAAAACAACAGTTACAGAATAGAGCAATGATCGCTGGCTGCAGGAGACGCAGTGAAAACCAAGTAATTCAGAAAAATGATTGATCTAAAAAAGTCAGTGATGTTTGTCGCCTTCGAGTTTTTCCGCTATGACGTAGGAAGAACAAGTGATCAGATTGCTAGTTCTGACTCTATAGATATTTTTCCTTTCATATGTTAAATTATCAACTACTTCTCAAAATGTCCACCTGATGTTTAAGGTTTACGTGTTTATTTGATTATCATATATATTGATATTCCGAGATTAAGAAAGATGCACATCATGAGAGATTAGCAAATGGATGGAGAATAAATAGGTCTTGACATCCATCTTGTTACGCAAACAAACTATATCCCTACACGCGAGAAACATTTTTCCTATTTATTTTCAAATGTATTGACAGAGAAGAGAGTTATTATTAAAGCCTCCATGACGCCAAGAGCTGGGGCTATCATAGTATTTGGGCGCCACTTGTAAAATCGATGAGAGATAACACGAGATCAAAAGAACTGAAAGGTTTGTTATTATTTATTTCATGGTAAGTGTTATTTTATGGTTCAGCACGTATTCTTTGTATAGAAATAACTAGTGCATAGTCTTTCATAAGAGAATCGTCAGTTGCACGTCAACACAAAAACTGTTATTCTATATAATAATCAGAACACCCACTGTTAAAAGTTTTTTTTTCTTTTTGTCATAAACTCAGTAATTTTGCGCATTTTATTTTACTAATTGCAGAATCTAAGTCTTAAGGCGTCGCACACAACACTCATAATCCGCGTTGACTTGCTTAGGCGTGATTGTTTGGAGTTAATTGAAATGTTTATATCCACTAGTTAGTCCGCACACACTTCGATTTACGTCCCCCCCCCTTTTTTTCCACAGATCGAATATTTGTAGAAGGCGGGGACCAGGGCGCCTCACTCCGTTCGGGGGGGGGGGGGGGGGAAGGGTGCTAAAGTTCACCAAACGACTCTCTTTACAAGTTTAATGAGATTGTCATAAATTATTGGAAGAATGTCTAAAGTGTAACCAGATACATTCGTTTACAGACGGACCTTTTGTAAAAAGTTCTATCATGAGGAGTTATATTTCTTGAACAGCCCCTCTCACTTAGTCATGTTAAATTATTTCTCGCCGAGACCATAGCGCCCTCCCCTTCCGCTTTTCATATCGTTTTTAAAATGTCACATGGCAGAAATTTATATTATTTGTAATTCAGAAAAAAAATGTCGAAATAGATTATATTCATTTTAGGGTTAGATAACAAATACATTTTAGAAGTATTTTAGATTACGTCTTTATATGTAATGTTTAGCATCTGCGAGCCAATGGTAAGTTTACAAGTCTAAAATTCGTGGTTTGATTCCCTATGCTGGACAGATTACATATAGCCCAATGTGTAGTTTTGCGATAAAACAAACAAAACTTTTGGATTACAAACAAAAACAGCTGTGGTTTTATGTGTAGCTACACTAAAATGATATTATTTAGTTGCCTGAGTTATTTCCATTCAGTCTTTTACTTTGTCGTATGTGATATAGAAAAGGCGTAACTATAAAATTATATAAATCCTTCTTATCTGGTACGTTTTTAGGTGAGACCTTTCCTATATAACAAAAAATCACGAGTCGTTTTAACTGCAAATATACACTGATATATATCTATCTTAGAACTCACGATAAACAGAAAATATTCTTAACTAGGTAAAAACAAGAGATGATAATTTTTTTTTACTAATATGTAAGTAATGTCCCAGTATCAAGTTGTTTACTAGATGTCTATTTTGTACTCACATAGAGTTATTTAAGCTATACAGATACAGCGTATTGTATATTACATGAATTGCTATTCTCATTGGTTGATTTCCTTGTTGGAATGGATTTTGATCTTTGGGAGATAATTCAAACAATACTGAGGGTACTATTTGGGATGTGGATGGGGGGATAATCCAGTTGTTTACTTCAGTTATTTGGGATGTTGGGCGGGAGGATAATATAGTTGTTTACTCCAGTTGAACATTTAATTTGCAAAGCAGGCGAGACAGTCTTAAATTCAATTATAATGTTTCACCTTTATATTAAAAAATAATTAAAAACAGGTTTCGTTTCCTCGGGACTGGTATGGCCAGGTGGTTAGGGAGCTCAACTCGCAATCTGCGGGTCGCGGGTTCGAATCCCCGTCCCACCAAACATGTTCATTCTTTCAGCCGTGGTGGCGTTATATTGTTACGGTCAATCCCACTATTCGTTGGTAGAAGAGTAGCCCAAGAGTTGGCGGTGGGTGGTGATGACTAACTGCCTTCCCTTTAGTCTTACACTGCTAAATTGGGATGGCTAACGCAGATAGCCCTCGTGTAGCTTTGCGCGAAATTCAAAACAAACAAAATCGTTTCCTAGATCCAGAGAAACCCGTCAAATATTAAACACTGGTCTTTTTTGTATTTTTAATCAATAGGAAAACGTTACGACCTTTTCAACTTATCTCAAATTCGGTTACTGGAATAATGTCAGCAAGGACTACTTTTAACTTTCGTTTCGTCTCAGTGAAAAAAAAATCTTCATATGCGCATATTTCTTTCCACGTTAAAAGATAATTCTGACTACTATGATATTTAATCTCGTGTTAATGAAAAGAAGATAGTTTCTCCTTCTTCTAGGTTTAGTCTTATATCAATAATAAACATCACCGTCAGATACACGTAAAGTATTCCTTATGAAAAAATTCGGCTTAGAACTCTTTCAGACTTAGTCTTGGGTTATTGAAAAAGTCATCTCGAACCACACCTGCCTTATGCTTGGTTCCAATGAAAGACATTTAGCTTTGATCTCCTCGGGATAAAGAATTATCTTAGTTAAAAACAGTGACCTCCACCTAGTCCTACCTTATTTCTGGTGTCATCAGGCTACTCCTAGAATCCGCCATTTGTAAATAAAATGAATTCAGCTCCTACTATTTCTTAGAAGGACACTAGCCATGTTCATTTGATTTCCATAATTTCTTATTGATAGTCTTGCTAATGTACAACTGTTTGGTCCATATTTACGTGTTGAGATTGTTTTGGGCATGTGAAACACTATATAACAGTTTAACCGTGTCATTTCAAAAGAAACTTGATTGATAAGATGAACTGTATATACTATTGGTTCATTTGGGTTAAATCTATACAATAGGCTATCTGCGTTTGCCCACCGCGGATATCGAACTCTAATTTGTAGCGGTATAAACCCGCAAGCACATATATATAAATTATTATTTACGTGGTAAGATGTTCAAAAAATTATTTAATGTCAAAAATAACCTATTTTATTGTTTTATCTTAATGTTTTACCCCCAGAAAGCTTAGTGTAAAAATATACCCTCAATTATAGTAAATTTAGTAAATAAAAATTTACACAAGGAAAAATGGAGTAGGATCAAAATAACTTTCAAAGCTGTGATAAAATAAGCCTCTCAATGTACCCCATGCAAATATAATACCTTTAAGATAAATATGTGGTAAGCTTGTTTGTTTGTAATTAAGCTACCCAATGGACTATCTGTGCTCTGCCCACCACGGGTATCGAAACCCTGTTTCTAGCGTCGTAAGTCCGCAGACATGCCGATGTGCCACTGGGGGGCATATGGTAAGCCTAACCAAAAGCGTTACCCCAGTTATAGCAAATTTAACATTAACTTCACTTGGTAGAAATAGATACCCAAAAATATGTCCGTTAAGCTTTGATTATACACTTGAAATAGAACACAAAAAACGCAATTGACATAAAGGTAGTTTTATCACGTTTACCGCATCATCATCAAGCACACAATATACAGTAAGTAACAAGTTATATGTGACGTAACTGATCCAATCAGAACTAAAGGTGTCTACACTGAACAAATCTGGAAGTGTACTTGGGTACGAATACAAATAATTAACATACGTATTTGCATATATATATATATACCGAAAGTGATATTATATTATTTTAAATTGTAGCGTTAACTAAAACACTATGTGTACGTTCAAAAGAAACGTACTTGACAGCATATTAATAATTATTCTTCTAATTTACTTATTACTCTTTTTTTTCTTTTTTTTTGGCGTGTTCAGTAATCTTTATACAACACAACAAAAAATGTCAATAAGTTCGAGACACATAAGCTTTGTGTATTTCAGACGACAAATAACGTTCTTTAAGAATATTCATCCACTAATCAAAGTGACCTGATACTGGTCTTGTTTTTATTCTCAGCGCTATTTCAACAAGTTCCATTATTTTTGACTTACGTTTCTAAGTTTTCTCCCCAAACATTGATGGTATCTAAGGTACTTAATTTTGTCCCTCTACATGTTCTGTATGCGAAGATATTTAAGATAACGTGTAAAAAGAAACTATACTTACTGATAAAGTCCTGATAAGGCAAATGTGACAAAGTCTGGGTTGTTCCGAAGCCATGGCTGTCACCTTCTTTGCACTGCTGCTATGGTCAGAGAAGGCGTAAGAACGAGGTCTGATTCTTAGGAAGATTTCAGTCAGACACCTTGATTGTGATTCTGATTCTGAGGTGCTTGGTTTCAGTTATAATGGATCAAATGCTTTATAGTTTTCTGCAAGATTCTGCACGTTTCTTGTGGCTAACAAGAACCGATCTTGACACTTACATCAATGAAAATTCATATTCCCCCCCAAAAAAGAATTGGTTAACTTGTAATACAAAGCTCATAGTACCTACATTTGTGCGGAGTTTGTTTTTTGTTGTTTTTAATATTTAAGGCTAGAGTTAATAAAAGCTATAAGTGTTTAGGAAAAAAAATGATTTACAGACATAAGATTCGGTAAGCTGTCTTAAAGAATTCTACAAGGATGAGTTTAACAGTGATCATTCTTCGGTTATTTGAGTGAGCTAAATATGTGTTTAGTCAAGTTCTGTTGAGGTAACTGGCTCGAACGGGATCTTAAAGGTTTTAACCTTAAGGCTGTGGAAGCCAAGACACTAAACCTTACTAAGAAAGAACAACTTTTGAAACTAAGTAACGTGGGGACCACTGTCACCGCTCGTTGTGCACCACTTCATCTAGTTATGGGCCTAGCAGGCGGGTTCTATACCCACCCTGTCGCTAATGCTTTTCATACGCATGCGTGGCAAGTTGCCCGTTTACAAACTTATGTAAAGTGCAGAGCAGCAGAAATCGATCTATTTCAAAATATTGTCTCTCCAATGAAGAAGATGAGATTGAGACAATCTGTATGTTAAAGAGACTTTTCATGTTAGAATACAGAGCCCAGTTGACATTTTCATATATGAATATCTGCCTTTATAAGTGTTTGTCAGATGTGACCTTTACTTGTCTATACGTCGACAAAAAGTTTCCTACAAAAAGTAATCTTCTTTTCTAGTCCAACTTTCGATAAAAATACGAATGATATAAAATAATTTCAGAAAATGTTCTAATAAAAATGTGTAAAGAATGCGGGCCAGCACCCATTAAATATATAGTATACTTAATTAAAAACACACATAAAAGTAAAACATCAATGAAAAATAAGATGTAAAAGGAAAAAACCTAAAACCAAGTCTTCAAATTTATATTTTGAATCAAATTATGATATTTTGAAAACAAAATCTACATATAAAGTTTAATAAATAAAGTTTCTTCACCCACTAAAATGTTATCTTTGGGTCTCTATTTGTATAAAATATTATACAAATAATTTATTCCGTACGATTGATTTCTGCCCACCACGGGTATCGAAACCCGGATTCTAGTGTTGTAAGTCCGTAGACATGCCATTGTAGCACTGGGGGGCTAGTCCACATGTATTCGCTTTTCGTGGGATGTTGAACAAATGATTTTCGGAGTCTGCTCTTTTTCTTGAGTTAGATGTGTAGTTTATGATATATTTTACAAATATAATTTCGGGCTTTCTCCGTAAAAATAGCTACCAACATGTGATGTGTAGATATATACACTTTAACGTTATTCATGACATAACCAACTGAAAGTCTTATGAGAAGTTAGATTTTGTTCTTGTTGGAGAAAATTTATGACAACAAGATTTTGGATACTATCTGAACTGTCCCGAACTACCAACAGAGATAAGTTTACGATAATTCTTTATTTCCACGAGAAGACTCACTCCGACTAACCTATTTGTCAACCGCTGTGAGGGACTTGCCATTGCCGATAAGGCCTAAGGATCATGCGGCGCACTGAGAGGGGATGCTCATGTTATTTTCGATGTACTGTTGATCCCGCGCCGGTGTCAGAATAGTGCAGTATCGATACTATTATTATAAAATCTTTAGATTGTATAAAGGAAGAGAAAACTTCTCATGGACTTTATCAGTATGTATTTAATTAAACAAGTAGACAGATTATAACAGAACTTTCTTACTCTAGTACACAAAGATTCAATATCATTCAAGAACGAAAAGTTAACTAGAGTCTCTAGCTTTGTATTTTTGTCGTTCTATGGGTGTGGTGCTTACCGTGAAGAAGCTTTATGTAAAATAATTTGTTTCAGCACAAATAATCAATTGTGTGAACTTTAGCATAAAGAGTAAAAGTTTCTTTTTTCAATTTTACACGAAGCAATTCGTATAATTTTAAATTCTAGATAAGTTCTAGAGCTCAAGAGATAAGAAATTTGAATTATTCTATCAACAATTCTGTGACAGTATAACTCTATTACTATTGTAAAACTATGAATTATAAGACAAACAGTTATTTAGATTATGCCAATTCTGTCTGTTAGTCATAATGTTTGACCTTCTCATTACCAAAAGTTCTTTTACCAATAACTGTTCCTAAATGGTCTGTTTCATAGTCTGTAACAATAAAAAATAAATTGTTCAAATATTATGAATTTAATGGTTTGATACTTAGTGGAATAACAGTGTGAATTGTGAAATTCTGTATTCTTAGTAAATGAAAATGTTCAGAAAATGCTGTAAAAGTGTATTTTCCCGAATTGACTAGAGAATAATGTATGCTTGGTTAGAGAATATAAAAAATGAAACAGTAGATATTATATTAAATATAGAGCTGTTTACATATGAAGTCGTTAGATAACACTAAAATGAGACTGTCTCTCCCTGTGTGTATATTTCAACTTCTTCAAAATACATGTCAAAATTAAAACGACTTAATCCCTATCAAAGCGCTAAGGATGCTTACTTATGTTTGGTGAGGAACGTACTAATTAATTGAATCGAGGATACCATAACAACTTCTACAGCAGGGAAATTCTGATTTAAATTATTGCAACGTTTCGACCCATGGTATCTGCCATCATCAAGCCATACCGATGAAAGTGTCCTTTATACGGTTCACAGATTTTACTAAATATAAGCCCCCCAGTAGCACAGCGGAATGTCTGCGGACTTACAACGCTAGAATCCGGGTTTCGATATCTGTGGTGGGCAAAGCACAGATAGCCCATTGTGTAGCTTTGTGCTTAATTACAAACAAACAATACTAAATATAAAATGTTCACTTCTCTTGTATTTTTGTAATTTCAGTGATCCGAAACGTTCAAAAACAAAGTTATTAAATGGTATTATTTATGGTTGTAACTAACAAAAATGTATATTTTCAATTAGACAATTTTCATACCTAATTCTTTAACATATAACAATAGTAAAACTGTGGCCTAGATGTTTTGTCGACGTTTGAATGGGAACAGTTCTGAAGTTTTTAAGTTTTAAATAAACCTAGCTATTGTAATAACTTTACTGAGTTCCTAAATAACATTAAGTTTGTAAACTGAAAATAATACTATGATATATTATTATAAAGATATTTTATCATTTGAACTCAATAAATAGTTACCCTAAGCGTTTCAATAGATGCAGGGTCGCACATTCTGCATGCATAAGATTTCTGAATTCTGGGATGAACTCCATTAAGCGATTTATACGAAAAATTCACCCATAAAACAATAATCTGTATTAACACTTAAGTCATAGTCTCAAACGTCATGTGCGATAATCTCTTCAGAAGTTATATTCTTATTGCTATTATGCATTATAGAATACCACTAAACTTTTGCAAAAGACAATGGTTTCCAACAAAGAAAAGTCGCATTTACTGAATGGCTGATTGGGTTAATATACAGTTCAGCCTGTAGAAAAATTCTAAATAAAAAAATATTAAAGAGACTCTCATAAAAACGGAAAATGTCCCTCTCCAAAAAAAAAGTACTGTGAAAATTCAAAAACTAGAATACTTTTTTTTAGCACATGATCACTACCATGTATATTTGCCACGAGACTCAATGACACTCAAGTCTGTACATCCCACTATTCAAGTGCCGCACACGTTATTATGGAAGTTGGGCCCATTCTTGAATAAGGAAGTACTGAAGCTTTTACATAATTCTGGATTGCAATAGATGGTCTGTTATTGTTTTCTGTAATACTTCTTAACTATAATCAATATAGGGTTCAGATCAGGAGATCTCGCTTACTAATTCATCCTCTCAATTGCTTCCTCTTCGAGGTCAGCCATGATGATCCATGTTCATATGAAGGCAAACATTATCATCAACCAAAATGTTTCACCATTGCACCGGCACAATATCTCACTATCAGATGAAGCTTCTCATCTCAGTACCTACTACAACGATGGGGCAATTCTGGATGATATGGATGACCAGCCTTTCCTGTATATTTATTCCAGCACAGACCAAGACAGATTACTCTCCATATCTATTGTGTTGTACAATTCTGGATGACATGGATGTCCAGCCTTTCCTGTATATTTATTCCAGCACAGACCAAGACAGATCACCCTCCATATCCATTTGTTATGTAATTCTGGATGACATGGATGTCCAGCCTTTCCTGTATATTTATTCCATCACAGACCAAGACAGATTACTCTCCATATCTATTGTATTGTACAATTCTGGATCACATGGATGTCCAGCCTTTCCTGTATATTTATTCCAGCACAGACCAAGACAGATCACCCTCCATATCACGTTGTTTCCAGGTCCGCACGCCTGTCAAGACAGAATATAAATTCGTTAGTGAATAAAACTGGTTCAATCACTGATATTCCACCTGACATAATAATTTACAGTCCATCTCAAACGTTCATGAATTTACTAAAGTATCAGAAGTATGCGGACAAAGACTCTTGTGAACCTTGCAGCAACTTCATGAAACATCTTCAATCCGCCCATGTAGAAATTTCAGCTCCGTTACATCTTGTAGGTCATTTCTCAATTGCTGACCTTTGCGGCAGGTCAAAAACGTGACTCGATTTTAATATAGAGTTTATTTCGAGAGATTGTAACTATTCTATGTCCTCCACCATATTGTCTCGTGAACTTACCATAGCTCTGATAGTGACTTCTGTAAGGAACACCAGATTTTGGGACACACATTTAATAAGCGAGCGACATGGCATTGAGTGTTCCCATTTTCAAGCATCCATGGGCCCCTGTTTATGACGACATTACTCAATTGACATCTAATTTGTCTCTGAACCATTACACTTACTGCTAAAACAGCTTCCAACCAAGCTTTCTCACTTGTATTAAATTTTGTGGATATAACATTCTGCTTTGAGAATTGTAAATGTAGATTCATGCCTATTTATTCCCTAGAGTCAAGCACAAAGTTCAACAAAATATGTGAACTGCATGCTGCATGACAGGTCAAAAGGCAGACAGACAGATATATTAATTGAACCAGTACTAATTTTAATTTGATTTGAAAGGTTAATCGTTAGCAAAAGTTGGCTTATATATCTATTACTTGTCATAGTAATATAATTAATATTTTTAACAGAAGTAATTCCGACCCAAGTATCGATGAACACTGTTTAATGAACTTGGGAAGAATAAGTGTTATCCATGTCTGATCTACAATTTTGTAATCTTCAGTTAAAATATGGTTACTTCTGATTTCAAGATCATTAATGACACAGCCAAAGACTAAAAAAGTAATTTCACCAGTTATAGACGGATTATTGTTTTGTTCATGTGCGATATGGCCATTTCTTTTAATAACTTCTGATAAACTGATCAGTGCTCCAGATTCGACG